GTCTACTCAATCTCTGAGTAAGATCCTCAACCTGGTCATTTCCGGACTGTCAACTACCGCAGATGTTGCAAATCACGACATTGAAAATGACGAACAGGAGACCTTGCCACAACACAAACGCCTGCTCGAAATGTACGCATTCCTTCTTCAGTGGTCCATCTCCGCCGTCGAAACAAAAGCACAGGAGAAGTCGAGCACGGGGCCGGCTCGAAGAGGTGGCAAAGGCGCAAAATCAAAGTCGGCTGCCAAAGACAATGCTTGGGATTCTTCCAGCCAGATCCAGAGTGCAATGGATGTCATGTGTCGAGTGATGAAGCTCAAGCTGAATCGCATTTTCCAGACAACCTCTGATCGCGACACGTTCATCAATCTGTTTACGAGATCCATATACATGATCATGGAGAGTGAGGCAAGAGTCAAGATTACCGCGGTTCGCATGTTTTGCTTCAAGGTGCTCTGCGTTGCCGTGAAGCATCATGGCCACGCTCTTGGAGCACAGACCTCAATCGTCCAGAATCTCACGTACTTTGAACATTTGTCGGAACCCATGGCCGAGTTTCTCCACATCTTGTCAGAGCAGTACGACTACCCTCAGCTGTCTGCCGAGATTCTCAGAGAGCTGGCTGCAAAGGAATTCAGTCAGAATGACACGAAAGGGCCAAAGTCGGTTTCGGCCTTTATAATCAAGCTTTCAGAGCTCGAACCGAGACTCGTGATTAAGGAGATGGGCCTTCTTGCCAAATTCCTGGACAGCGAGGCACACACCTTACGATGTGCAGTGATTGAAGTCTGTGGGAATTTGCTTGCAGATCTAAGCAAACAAGGTGAGAAGACCGAAACCACCAAGATACAGATCAATGCTTTCTTCGACACTCTTGAACAGCGATTTCTTGACACAGCCCCATTCTGCAGAGTACGGGCAATGCAAGTTCTCGCCAAGATATGCGACCTGGAGCAGAAGTTTCCTAAGAGGAGACAGAATGCGGCCGAACTTGCCATGCAGAGTCTCCAGGACAAAAGCAGTAACGTTCGACGCAATGCTATCAAGCTGTTGAGGAAGCTGGTTTCTTCACACCCATTTAGCCTCATGCACGGTGGACAACTTTCACACAAAGAGTGGATAGAGAGACTCGAGGCAGTCGAATCACAGTTGGACGCCCTGAAGCCCCCACCCGACTCACCTGGGCTGGCCCGGACGGCTGCAGGTGAAGACCGAGTTGACCAAGAACTCCTTGACGATGCAACCCAGGCAGAGGAAGAGCCAAAAGAGCCGACTGAAGAAGAGAAAATTGCTGCGGTGAAGAAGGCGCAAGAAGAGGCAGCAACGTCTGAAGTCATAGGCAAACTCCAACTGACCCGCAAATATTATCTCGAGGCTCTCAGATTCATCGAAATCATTCATGAGGCCTCTGAAATCGCGGTCCAGCTATTGTCGTCGCCCAACAAGACTGAGGTAATCGATGTGATGGACTTCTTTGTCACGATTGACGCGTTCAAGATCGAGACGGCCCGGAAAGGGATCCGTCGCATGCTGCGCTTGATCTGGACTAAAGGAAACAGTGATGAAGGCAAAGGAGTCCAGAACCATCTAATCGACAACTACAAAAGTCTCTTCTTTGATGCCCCTGAGATGTTTAGCGCCAATGATGCTGCCAATTTCGTTGCCAGGAACATGATCAGCTTGACATTCGGGGCAACACCTGCAGAGTTGACCTCGCTGGAACAGCTGCTGAGCACCATGTTCAAGGCCGGTCACATTCCCGAGTTAGTGATTACGAAACTGTGGCAGGTATACGGCGTCAACAAGGAAATCTCCAGGGTCCAGAGGAGAGGTGCCATCATCGTCTTGGGAATGATTGCTCTCGCAAGTCCGGAGGTTGTGGTGAAGGAGATTGACACGATGTTGCGAGTCGGTCTCGGACAGCTAGGGCGGAATGACCTCGTGCTCGCCAAGTTCACCTCTGTTGCTCTCCGACGCATGATCCCAACAGCGAAGAAGGTGCAAGAGAAGACTGCTTCCGCCGGTCTCTCGAAGATGTCCAACAACCACGAAGTTCTGCGTATGCTTGCATCAATCCTCCTCACAACCTCGGCAAGCAAGGACTGGTATGGGATGGCAGAACAAGCGATCAGCGCAATCTACGTCCTCTCCGATCATCCAGATGTCCTGTGTTCTGAAGTGCTGAGACAGAAGACTCGGCTTGTCTTTCAACAGACAAAAAACCTGTCGTCGCTATCGAGAACCTCTTCTCCAGAACCCGATGCAATGGACATTGACGGCGACGAACCAGTCACAAACCCGGAGAGCGAGCCACACGAGCTGGATCCTACAGAAACCAAGCAGGAGAAGCCTTCAATTGCGCTCTCACAGCTGCTTTTCACTGTCGGCCACATTGCCATCAAACAAATCGTGCATCTTGAGTTATGTGAACTCGATTTCAAGCGACGGAAACAGGACCAAGAAAAGAACAAGCCAGTGGCCAACCCTTCCCCTGACAAGTCCTCAGGTCCCACGCCGGCTCAACGGAAGAAGACTGCGGCAGAAGAAGTCCTCGCAGAGAAGCAGAAAGAGGAAGAAAAGGATGAGCTGGACTTGATCGGTGGCACGACCGAAGATGACTTCACTGAGGCTATTACGCATATTCGAGAACGAGAGTTGCTCTACGGTCCACATTCGTTGCTCGCAAATTTCGGCCCTCTGGTAACGGAAATTTGTGCAAACAATACAGCTTACAAAGACCGAAACCTCCAAGCTCAGGCGACGTTGTGTCTAGCGAAACTCATGTGCGTGAGCAGTGAGTATTGCGAGAAGAACTTGCCACTCCTGATTACGATTCTAGAACGATCCACTGACCCTATTGTCCGGTCAAATGCTGTGATTGCGTTGGGCGACATGGCGGTGTGCTTCAACCATCTCATTGACGAAAACACGGACTTCCTCTACCGCCGGCTCAATGACGCTGATGAAAGTGTGAAACGAACTTGTCTTATGACATTGACCTTCCTCATCTTGGCAGGACAGGTTAAGGTGAAAGGTCAACTGGGAGAAATGGCCAAGTGCCTGGAAGACGGTGATAAGAAGATTGCTGATCTGGCACGCATGTTCTTCACCGAGTTAGCGACCAAGGATAATGCCGTGTACAATCAGTTCGTCGATATGTTCAGTGTCCTCACTCAAGAGGGGCCGTTGGAAGGCGGAGTTATGGAAGAGGAAGCAGTCAAGAGGATTTTGAAGTTCTTGTGCGGGTTTATCGAAAAGGTACGCATGCACCACTACATCTCTTCTGCCTGCAAAATGACAACGCCGGAACGAGACTTTATGCCACTTCCCCTCAACTAACTTTGTGCGCGAAATAGGACAAGCACGCCAAAAACCTGGCCGAAAAACTCGCAGCCCGACTTAATAGGTGTGCGAATAAACGTCAATGGGACGACACAGCATACGCGCTGTCCTTGCTGCAGCATAAGAATGAGGACATTGTGAGGAGGATTCAGGAGGGGTACAGAGTGGTAGAGACGGAGGCGTAACATTCTTTCTTTTGCCCTCGACGAATGTAACTCAAGAATCTGGATTGGAGGCGACGGTGTGTTACTGACACATATGTACCATAGACAACGAAATGAATTGGACGAGATTATGAAATCCGTGTAGTGTCCTTCTGTGTTTGTTGGACGATGGATGGTTCCCAGGTCTTTTCGTGGTATCCTTCTGGCAAGGGTACGTGCGGTATAGGTAGCCAGCATGGCAGTTTGGGATGATCCTCTGTGAGGCTTCGTTCGGAGTATGTGGTGCATACATAACGAGTGCCTAGGTCCGTACATCCACATGATCGAAACGATCAGCAATGGTGATGTGATGTGTTAGATCGGATCCCCTTCTCTCCCCTCTTTCTCTTTTTTCAGATTTCTCGAGGTACCACAGGGTGGGCTTAGCGAGCTCCATCGTCCCAAGGGGAGCCCGGGAGTGGAGGGCAGGTGTATAATTGCATTCATATCCATATCCAGTTTCATTTGCTTCATATTTACTACTTACTGGTAGATATATTCGCGGTTGGAGGGAGGAGAGAGGAAGACGTCCTCCGCCACCGCGTTTGCCTTTGCTCGGAAATGGAGATGGAGATGGAGATGGAGATGCAGATGCAAAATAGAGATGGGAGTGTAGATAGATCGGATTATAGCCAGCAGTGTGTGCTTCTACGGACTGTTTGTGCCTGGCTTAGGTACCTGGTAGCAAGCATGGGACTCACTCCCGTCTGTTCGTGGTGGACTTTGATCCTCGCACGAATCTCCCCCATCATGGTCGTTCCTTCGTCATCCGCAAACCCTCCATAACTCCGGTTCCCTTCCGGCAAGGACCAGGACAAGAACAACAGTAATCAAAGGTCGTGGCTTGTACTGGTGCTGGTAACTCTAGTCATTTACCGCATCGGCACGGCACAAACGCCATACGACAAAACGCCACAGAACACCACTGCCGTTGTCCGCGCCGAAGGTGAAAAATGTCAGGCTCGGTCGCACTTTTCCGGCTTTGATCATGATGGTGGTGATGGAATAGGTACTCCGCAGTCCATGTTATGTCGGTGAATTCCATTTCGCTTCGCTTTCGTAAGGAGCCAGCGGTGAGACGGTAGCTTGTCCTCCCATCTTTGTTCCCTCGATCGGTCGGTCGAGAAATCTGGTTTGGATTTTGAATTCGATCGACTGGTCGAGATAGTTGGGTATATAGTTAGATATGTGGGTGGGTGGGGTGGTAGCTTGATATTTGGAGATGAAAAAGGTTGCTGGGTGATATTTCAGACACCCATTTGCGCGGTTCTGGCGAGCTGGCTGGCAAGCAAGATGAATCCAACGGACAAGTGCCTCCCTCCGAGAGCCTCCGGGGGCTCAGAAACTGACCGCCGCAACAAAACATACGCTCCACGAACGACAGAACACACGACTTCTCTCTGTCGCTCTCGATCTGTCTCTCACATTCGCCGTTCCAAAGCAAGTTGACGCCCCTATGGCGTAATGGCTGGCGAACCCGAGTTCTTGGACTCGGAGTCGCTGCCGGCCCCGTGCGAAAACCGCTCATCAGGTCTGGGCATGTTGGAACCCGACCTCAACCTGGCGGCCTCGCGCTTGGCCAGCACCTCATTCCACGCCGCCGGGTCCAGGGCATGCTGCGACTCCTCGCCCAACGCGGCGGCCGTACCCGTCGCTGTGGCGCTGTGGATCGCCGCGCCGACCGCCCCGCCGCTGGCCGACATGACATGCTCGGCGTCGAGTTCCGGGATGGGCGACTCGACCAGACTGTGCCGGGCCTCGCGCTTGGCGGCGCGGATCTCCTGCTGTGCCGTGAACTCGGTGTGCTGTTTGGCGAACAGCGGGACGTGCTTGTCCAGAAAGTTGGTGGCCGCGGCCAGCGGGTGTGGCGTCGCGATGTGGATGTGGTGGTGATGATGGCCTTGCGGGTGCCAGGAGGCGTCAGCGGGGTTTTGCGACGGCGAGGGTGTCGACGCGATGATGTATGCGGGGCTTGGGTGGACGAAGGCCGACGGCGGGGGTGGCATCGAGATCTTCATATTGGACTTGGTGGAGGAGCGCGTCGTCGTTGGCGAGAGGGCTTCATCTGAGGTCGAAGACATTTGTGCGGATTATGTGTGTGGCGTGATGTTCAGGCGGCCGGTCGGTTTTCGCTTCTTTTGGTGTTATATCGTATTAATATGGGACGATCTGCTCGAGTCTCGTGGAAGCAGGATTTTCGGCTTCTCCTCTTTTCTCTGTACAGGCAGGTTCTCTATCAGAACTCTGCGTTACGCTGGGTCGGAAGATCTAGGGCCGAATCCACTAGAGAGGCGCTATCCGAGGTTCAGAGGACCTGCTCGTCCGCCACGGTGGCAGTAATTGATCTGTATCGAGAGGGCTTTCTGGCTCCCTCTTTCACGCCTCGAAGGCAAAGCAGGTGGACGTGGGTGGTCGAGGGAGAGGAGGCGCGGGATTCCAAAAGAGAAAGGGACAGGAACAAGGGAGAAAGCGGAAACGTGCGCGGCCTTATAAAGGGCAGGATGGTGTAGAGAGAGTCACTACCGAAACAGAAGGTAGAAAGTAGAAAGCAGGAAGCAGACAAGACTCGGGCCACGACAAATGCCTTTGGTCCTTACGCGAAACTTAGCAAATCATTCCATCCTCCTGAACATTTCGAGGTCTAGAGTATATACCACACCCTCTTGAGAAGGAGCCGATACCCCGTCGACGGGCATTTTGCCCGTTGTAGCCACTCACGCGCCGTTAGCGAGGGAGGAGGAGCAACAGAGGGGCGACGATGGCCTATAATGGGCCAATGCATGTCTTTGAGCGTTGCTGACGCATCATGCGACATTATGCATCATCCCAGCATGGCGTCTTGTCCTCCTCTTTGCCCTTTGCCCCGCCAAGATGGTCCATTACGGCACTTCCCTGTCGGTGAGAGAAAGTGGGCAAAAAGGTACAGGGCCAAGGGTTGGGGAATGACATGTGATGTGGTCACCAAGTGCTGGGCAGAAGGCACTCCAGAGATACACTTACACATGGACGGATGGGGATGCGCATGGGCACCACATCAAGCCGGGAAAAGGAACAGGAATGTGTTACTGTCCCGGACAGGCAGTGGACTGAATTACACGGGTCGTCTAGTTAGCGGAAAAGAATCTTCCATGCAGGATGCCCTGCAGGACGCGAGCTGAGGAAAGACGGAGCGGGGTGGATTTGGGAAAGGTGCAAAGAGGATCCCACGGTAGAATGTTTGACTGGACCAAGAGATGGTATCGGTATGCCTGCCCTGTAGAGTGGTGGCCTCCGTACTGCCGGTTGTCTCGTTCGATATCTTCCCCCCCTCCACTCAACAGAAGAAGATCTACAAGGAGAAGTGCTGTCAACGCAAAGCATGATGACCAGCTGCATGCATGTTGCCTCTCTCCTCCCCTTGTTTGCCACAGCCTTCCCTTTCCCTCCCCTGCCGCTTTTCCCTGACCGGCTTCAAGCTTGTGGCATCCAAGTCATACAGTACCAAAGATCATGCCCAGTGGTTGTCTCTTCCCACTTCCTATATTATAGATCCCCCGTCAACGGTTTGTCTCGCCGCGCGTCCCTGGGGGCCAGGCGTCATGGAGTCATGGACCAAGTTCGGCCCTCTCTGTGCTCCTTCTGTGGTGCTGCCCGTCTCCGTTCTGTCCGGTCGGCATCTCAACTCGCATGAACGAGAGAACCGATGGAGAGACCTCCAGAAGAAGATCTTGGAGCACTTCGATCGGCTTGAGGGCTGGTCATGACAGGAGCAGGCATCACAGAAGAAGGTTCTGAAGTGACTGAGACCTGTGCCATCTGGCCCATGTGTGCAGAGGAGGAAGCATCAGCTGCGCTCTCCAGATCACTGCGCAGGAAAGTTAGGAGCCGGGTCTTTCTCTCCCCTCAATACAGTCAGGGACTTACTGTCTTTCCTGATGACGTTGAAGAAGATCCATACGATGGAATGCCTTTCGACATCCAGGACGAGTGCAGGGGAAGAGTGCTTCAGGATTGTGATTGAGTTCATGTCTCCTGTTGGCTGTTAGATTGAGGAGGATCTCAAACTGCTGCCGGGAACGAGCGGCCCAGTAGTCAGACTTACCTTCTGTGCTCTGCCCGCGTAAAGACCTGAGGATCATAGTTAGTCAGGTTGGTTCTCTTGGAGGGCCGTTTGGGTCCAATTGCTGGGGCCTGGATTTTGGGGGTCATGACGCCTGATGGGCGGACTCACCTTTCCACACCCGGGAAACTCGCAAGCATGGACACGTTTGCCTTTCTTTGCCTTGCTAATGCGGCCTGTTGGTGTACAAGTGGGCACCATGTCGAGAGAAATGGATGATGTCCTCATGGTGGAAGAGCTTTCACGACGAGAAGAGAAACCGTGAGCAGCGCCTTCGACCGGTGAGGCAGGCGAGTCGGACACTATAGGTGATCGGCTCAAGGCAATCGTGTCTTGAGAAGGCGACTGAGTAAAAGATATGGGTCGCGGACTTTCTCTCTGTCGGCGACGGCGATCTTTGGCTGGTTGGTCGGAAAAGAGTGTAGTCGTGGCCTGCTGTTGGGGAAGGATTGACTCGGAGGAGTTGGCGACGCCAGATTGTCGAGGAGTTTGGGAGCGCTGTTTTGGGGCCATGATGGAGAAAAGGATATTGTATAGAAGATATAAGAGTATACGAAGTGACCAAGAGGCCTGCGCCAAATGTTTCACTGTGGAGTCTGAAATGCTTGGAAGCCTCCGCCCCCTTCTGAGCCTCAAGCAAAGATTAAGCTTGTTTGAGGAAATGGGGACGATTGCATGGGTTTCTGGAGGGAGGGTAGGTGTGATGAGGGAAATGACGACTTGATGGTGGAAAGAAGGGGAGAGGCTAGGAGGATTAGAGAGTTTCCAGGACCTATCGGCAGGGCTGAGTTGTGTATGGGAGGCCGGAGGCACGTGGCGGGGCGAGGGCAGGTTGCAGGTGTAGGACAAGATAGGCCAGATGTTATTCTTGTCCCAAGAATGGAGACAAGGCACCTAAGGGAATACTAGAAAATCCAGCAGAAAGTGGTTCCAAAGTGGAAAGCATGGAAATGAATTTGGACGCAGGAGCCAGGGTGAAATTAGCTACCATAACTTTTTCGAGAGGCGGGTGTAAGAGAGGCAAGCGAGGTATAGAGCCTCCTGCTCCAATAGAACGGCCGAGAGCGGAGCGGCTGTGTCCTCTGCATGAGCCTTTTGGGCCAAGCGTGGACGGTCCCGGTCGAAATATAGAGCGTCTGATCAAGGGACGCCGGAGAAGCGATTGGACAGCGCAACGAAAGCAGGCGGATGACGCTGACTAGGATGGAAGCCTACTCGTACGTGTGGTAAGGGACCGTACTGGTAACCAGGAGGGGGGAGGGTGTGTAGTGTCGTTTCTTTGGGGGGGGGTGGAGAGGAAAAGGTTCCCATTTCCACGAGGCCGGAGGGCAGTAAGGGCATTCATTTGGGAACTTTTGGAGAGAGGGACCGAGTGTGTGGATCGAGTAACGGCAGGACGGCTGCTAGTAACGAGTCCACCCGCCAGTCATAGCCTCATAAACCCGTCATCCGTGAGGTCTTAGCTCCAGGCTGGTGCAGCAAGTGGTGAGATGGGCCGTCAGATGCTGGTCGATGTTCGCGTGAGAGATGCACTGCAGAATGATGTGGTACCTGAGGCCAAAAAGCGGAGACGGCTGCTGATTGGGCTTGGGGAAGTCTCCGTCATCCTTGAATAGCACGAGAGACCACACGCTTAGCGGTTTCTATCGCGAGTGCGGCGCAGGCCGATCACACTAAGCCGAATACTAATATGGTTGCTACTATCTAAAGACTTTGTTATACTATTTTGGGCCTAGCTTGAAACACTGGCCAACCAGATACCGGCCAAGCCACATCCACTAGAATCCACCCCTGAATGTCTAAAAGTGATCCGCTAGCCCAGCTGAGAATAAGCTTGCTGCTTTTTAGACGAGTCTGCCTTACCTGAGCACTAAAACATCGAACAAGAGAAGCGAAGTCCTCAGTTGACAGTCCTGTTCATCAAGCTGTGCACCCTCCTTCTCCCCATTCATGTGTCGACAAACCACATCCCGTTTCAACACCGAGCGCGAGAAACACGCCCGCAAGGTCTTCCCGTACCTGTATCTTAGGCGATGATCATCTCCCATACCTGCGTTTCGAGCTCGGAAAATGTTTGGCGGAACTACAACTTCATAACCCGATCGCATGCTGAATTCTCCGTCTTCCGATCACCTAACATACTTGTTAGTATTGGTTACGCGGTCCCACCCCGTTGATGCCGTCAGCCGGTCACACTAACTCGACGCAGGGGATATCCTGGGGGAGGAGGGTTGTTCGACACCTTCGCGATTCTTATTAGGTGCCATCATACACATTCTGAATGGATGGCTAATTTTGATCAATCTGTCATGATCAGAGCATAGTTCGCTGGGAGGCGACACAGGCAAGGACGAACCCAGGAGAAAGGACCTCGATCGAGATTTGGTATTCTGAATGCTTGCGCGAAGTATGACCAAAGTCGTAGCCAGTTCGGGGAATGGACCTCTTCTGGGACCGGCTCCCGTACGAGGACCACGGAGTGATGCGCAAAGCATCTCACATACCTAGATGAACGAGTGTGCATTCAACAAACAGGATATCCAGGTTCCCGAATGGCATTTCCAGCTCAGAAGATCTACTGCAGGAACGAGGCGTCCCCAATTCTACTTTCTACAACACAACCTTTCTGTGGGCAGCGGCATTCGTCACTCAGTAAACCCTTGCGAGAGTTTTCTCATCCAGGGCGACGAGAAGGACCGACTTCATGCAGATCACCGGTAGATCGGGTGTGGTCTTTCTTACCACCCTTTGATCCTTTTGTGTAGCCTATTCGCTCGGTGCGAAGCCGTAAACGCGGGAAGGATTTGCGCCGCCCGCTGCTCTAAAGAGGTACTTTCGGGGCACTCGCCACATTTGAGCGAAATAGCCCGGTGTGGCTGGCACCACGAGCCTGGTCATCATCCGATATCTGTGGCTGAACACAGTGGCGCACTTCAATTAACATTTGTTGCTTACCAAAGAGGCACAACAAATCCTTCGATGGAACTCGCTCAGAATTGAAGGATGCCAGATCCTGGCGTGCGGCTGAAGATGGATGGATCAATAAGACAACCTAGCAACAAAGACGCTCGAGGACAGTGGATGCCACCGAGGATGCTATCCGGTTGAACTGCGGGACACGCTATTTACAAGTTCAAAGATTTGCGAGTCTCGCATCATCTCTTTCTCCCGTCTGATCTGCAATTTCCACTTATTCTTTCAGAAGTCCTTTCCTCAATCATCCCAGTGACAATCTACTTCAACTCTACGAGCCCAAGATGGGTAATGACCCACTCGCCGACCAGCCCTGGACTTTGGCGAGATGATGCCTTGCCGAGGGCTTCTCGTGCGTCCTCGTAAGTCAGTCGCCGCGCGAAAATGGCATCAAAGGATCAAGAGTCGTATTCTCCGGGAACTTTTTCCGTCCATTATTACCTCGTAGAGCTCCTGCATCACGGAGAGCTTGCTTCCTCCAGTGTCTATGGACCCTATCCAACGAGCTCAACACCCCTTTCTCCTGCGTCACCGAATATGTTTACTCCCCTCGCCGAGTACAGGAGCTCATATCAATTCCCGCCCTGCAAACACAGAGTACTCCCTACTACTGACAAATATTTCGTGACTCTCCAGAGCCCATCTCAACCTTATTGATCCTCGTAATTCCGGAAACGGCACAGGATGGCGATCTCAGCAATCACGTGTTTGGTTTTCCGACGGGAACCCTCCCAATTTTGACACCAGCGTTTCAGGATAACGCCTCTTTCTCAGCCTTAGCGACAGTTTCAGACAATTGGGCGAGAAAAGCTCTTGGTGCCCGATACCCCTTCAAAGCTCGAGGACGCGCCACATCAGTCCACAATTTGTATTTTCCTCCCAAGATCTGCATACCCCATCTGCCGGAACACGAGAGAGCACGATCAGAAACACACCTCGAAGACCTTCGTTTCGATTCCGCCAACCGACATTTGACATCCCATTACTACAAGGGGAACAGCGGCGGATATTCTGTTGTAACTGCCCATGCTGGTTAAATGCAAGCCCCTGACCAGGTAGCGTGCAGGTACCTGGCCATGGGCTAAGGGCGAAGCTGATTGTGGCAGTTTCAACGGAGAAGGATGTATTCTTCGTTCTGTTCGAAGCCTAGCTTGATGCAAAGAAATGTTAGAGCATGGTTCCACGCATTCCAGAAGGGCCCCCCTTGAGCAATACATACAACAACAGCCAGGGTTGTCAGTACCAGTACCGGCTGCATACAAGCCAAGGCTCAGAGATACCTACTTGCTAGGTACATATGCAGGAACCGGCGTCTCGCCCACACGGCGCGGGAGGAATGAGACGCAGAAAGGAGGTACTTGGAAAGGGGGGCGACTAATACTCGCATCCATCGTATTCGGGTTCGGCTCCTGGGACAACTGTCTGGCCAGGGCCCTTGTGCGATGCATAAATAACCCTCGAAAACGGCGAGAAGTTGCTTATGAGAACTTCCAGTGAATAGGAGACAAGTGGAAGATGACGGCGACCCATCTACATAAGAGACAGAGCCTGACAACCCCAAGCTATCCAATGGTCTAGAGTCCTCGGTGTCACTGCAGGATAAGTACCGAGTAAGGGTAGGTTGACAACCGCCACATCATCTTCCTCCACGCGATGTCGTCGTTCTCCATCTCTTTCTGTCCTCTCCATTATTTCCAACCTCTCCCATGGATGCCACTAACCTTTCAACGCCTTGAGGCGGATACTTTCCCGCTATTACTGCGGTGATCAACAGCAGAAGACCTGCTAGTGTTCCCCCCCAGGCAGACGTCCTCTACAATCAGAGCAGCAAAAGGAGCAGCACGAGCTCGTCTGGAAAGCGAGAAGCATGCGGCATGCGTGTCTCTTCCCTTCCTCCATCGAGAAGAACGGTCGAGTCAACACAACATATCACATCACCTCTTGTCGTGGAGACAGCCTCGTAGCCGCATGTTCCAAGCTGGTAGCCATGGTGGTGACTTTGATTCATACTCCGTGATTTTATTATTCGTTTGCGTTTTCCCTTTCCCTGCTTCTCCCCCCATGAACCTGGGCCAGGAGGTCCGGGATGGACGCTCAATTAAGTAGTATTAAGTAGTGAAGGAGGCGTCGGTGGGTAGCGAAGTAATCTATATACAATAGCGCGGGCTCTCGCCAAGTGACAATGCTTGCAACTTATCCCCTTCCAGGAAGATGATCTATCTTTTCATTGAAAATGCTCGCTCAGATTCCAAAATCCCAAAACAGGTCCGCCCAGAGCCCTTATGTATTTGCGTGAACCCGTCAAATCCATAGAATCCCCAGTCTTGTCCCGGCCATATGTTAGTCTCTGGACGCCTCCCGTCTAATCTTCGCGCATTATTTATCCGTAAGCTTTCCGTGGAAGCATAGGTATGTAGGCTCTTCATAATCCAGCTGTGACTCTCTGGCTTGTATGTACACTCTTACGTGTTCCTGTTGCCCCAATCGTTGACAATATACTCCCTATTTTCCATCTCTTCTTCCTTTTCAACCCGCTATCC